CGGCAGGCAGGCTACCCCCGTCGACTCCGCGGTACTCCTCTCGCCGAGCTGGAGTACCGCAGTCGACGGCGAGCACTTCCGGGTTCGACTTATCGCGTCCAGACTAGACGCGATAAGTCGAACCCAGAAGTTCGATTGCCAGCCGCCGAACTAGCGGGTAAGTGTAGCCAAGGCCTGAGTGTCTGGAAAACATCTCCTGAATGATTTGCCTATACCCAAAGGAACTTTTAGAGCTAAGACATCAAGAGTTCTGTGCCTTTAGAAGATGCACTGGGATCACTTTACTAATGTATTTTTCAAGCCCTTCACTGGAAACCAGATCTCCATGTTACTGCTCTTCTCCTTTTACTCCATTAACACATTTTTGCTAGCAGATATCAAAGACTCAAACATGTTAAAATCTAAATGTCGTGTCTAACTATTGCTTGCTTACTAGTGTAATATGTCACACTAAATGGCAAACAGAGATGCTGAAGATTTCTCCCCTGATATTCCACTTCTGCAATGTACAGGGTGAAGAATAGGGCATGGGATCAGCTTTGTTCTTGGATGGGCAGGTGTCTTCATAGCTATATCCCCCTCTGCTGTTACCTGCTTGCAGGGGAATGCAGGCTCATCTTTTTCAAAAGCAACTAGTGATTCTGGATGCCTAACTTGAGACACCTTAAAGATTATTGAAGAATTGGTGTTCAGCACCTTCTGAAAATTCTTTTTCAGGTGTTTCAAGCTGGGCACCCAAAAACTGAGGTGCTCACAATCACTAGTCCCTTTTGAAAATGTAGACCACGTTATCTGGGTTATTGTTTATACTTATTTCAATATGCATGGATTTACACACAAATTGCTGTCAACACGGACACCCTTTCTTTCCTTCATTACTGAGAACTCCAGAGGATGACTCTCAACACCAGAAATATATTATAACAGTGCTACTGAATCTAACTCCCTGAAGTACTGCAGAGAGTCTCAGAAATTTGAGATGGAAAAGCTCTATTCGGTCATCTAGTCTTACCCTCTGCTACTGCCACATCCCTTTCTGCAGTATGTTTTCTAGTGCTTGCTGCAGCCTATTCTAAATGTTCTATCTCCCAAGCAATGAGACTATTCTACACTCTAACAGATCATCTCAAGCAGGTAGAGCATGTATCTCTAACAGAATGGTTCTCTCTTCCTTACATATAATTTCAGACTTGATCACACTAGTAAGAAACTTTATTTAAAAAAAACAGAATTTCTGTCTTACCAGTTAGTGAATACTTTTTAAATAGTTAATCATTTCTCTCACATTTAATTCATCTTCAGAGATTATGGTCCTATGCACAAGTAAAATTAGCATAGTTTATAAAGTGCCAACACTTAGTAAGGAAGTTGGTTTTAGTTATGTCATTCACTGTACAGTAGTCATACCATGAGATAACCTATTTGTCAGGGAAGAGACGGATATAAAATGTGAAAGACCTGAATGGGCCGCAGTCAAAGGACGGTGGGATAGAGACAATAGTGTACACGGCAGGCAGAGTGGAGAGGAAGAGAATAAAGAGCAGCATGGCCATGTAGAAGTTATTGGATCTAGAGGCTTTGAAGACCCTCTCATGGGGGACATTGCAGCACATCACAGCCCAGCATTGCAGATACATCGAGGTGTGGAGACGAAACACATTGATAGCTGGCAGGCCTGGAGCGTAAAAAGAACCCATCCTAGAAACAAACAAGAAAGTGCTCTGTAAAACTCTGCAGCCTTAGATACACCAAAACTCTTCACCCACCCTGGGCTTTCATATCCCCTTGTTTTGCAGCCACATACAATGCACTCCATTTTGCAGCTTATGAAGCCTTGTTTAACTCTTTTTATTGGTCTTGGCTCTGTTCCTTCCATTGACTTCATGGCATATGGCGAAAATACTCTTTAAATCATGTCTTTCCAAGTCTCAAGGCTCTCCCCCTCCCCTTTTTCTTTCTCCAACTGAATTTTAACAACCAGTCAGAAAACTGTTATTGATTTCCCCCTTTCACTTTCTTCTTCTTTAAATGGTTCTTTCATTTTCAAATCCACTCAGATAGATTGTCATTCATTTATAGAACACATAATCCCAAACATTATACCCCATAATCTCTTACAGGCTTGATGAGTATTTTGTTTGTATTACTATTATATTGTAACTTTACCTCTTCTTCTTTTCATCTGTTCTTAATGGATAGAGACCATATAGACTCTGCTAGTTCTTGGCTAAGGGCACATACTACACCTTGTGCCCCTGATCATATTCTCACTGAAATCAGTTGCAAAACTTTCACTGACTCCAGTCAGTTGAGGATCCAGCTAATTTGTGCCCATTATCATCACTTTTAGGTACAACATTTGAAGCAATCCAGAGTAAATTTTGCAGATGACTCATTAATATGCACATTCACATGAGAAGGTTTACATTCCATTCACTTTGCAGAACAGGAAGCCTTTCTATAAAGAGAGAAATGAATCTCCCTACATACACATGCAAATATACACAAATATACTCGGGCCTCTCAAATCCTCTCCAGATACAGGCTAGACCCAGCCACATCAAAAGCTCTCATGTCACTGCAGTTCAAGTGAGTACATGTGTGTGCAGCTCAAAATAATTCTAGAAATATACAATAACTCATTATATATTTTATTAAAATTGTAACTAAAATAGTTATTCATTATTTTATTGCTGTCATTTTTACTGTCTCTCTTAATTTCACTTGAGATGATCAAATGTTTATTATAAATGCTAAATCACTAAAAAACATAACAAGTTCACTGCTTGATATAGGCAACATTAGCTAACATGTTATGGTCTCGCTCCTGCAGTATGTAGCAGGCAGTTGGACTGCTGGGTCCATGTGGATCCCACATTGGGGACCATGCTATATTAGAAAGTGTATATTGTGACAGAGTATAGATGTGTATAATATCTGTATTTGAATGAGGTTTTAAACATGAAATGTTCTGAAAGTAATCAAAAATAAACCCAATCTGATCCCGAAACCAACCTCCCAACTTTTGATAATGAAAGGCTGACTTTCAATCCCCTCCCATCTTCCTTCCCCCCACCCCCTCAAAAAGTGCTAATTATGGTGGTGGAATGACCGTGCCATTCATGGTGCATAAACTTGGGAGTGCATTTTATACTACAGCTGTATCATCTTGATGAACAGTGGAATGTGTGCAGCAGAAATGTTAAGTATGAGCAACTGGGATGTCAGTTGCTGCTGCCTTTATGATCACACAATACAAGCTAATTTGTTAGTTTAACCTCGAGTGCCAGGTAGACACTGGCCCTGTGGATTTTCAATGTACCTAGGGCCAGATTAACCAAGGGGCCCATATTTCTGTGGCTCTGTGATGTATGTGATGAGCAGACTGGCTGCAGCATGAGGCTGCTGCTCCAGGCCTAGATTAGATGCATAGGAGGCTAAATACACATGAGTTCTGCTGTGAGTACCAGGGGCTGCTCCAGGGCCAGGAAAGGGGATATCCCCAGCTGCTGTCTGGGTAGCCAGAGGAAGACTAACTCCCCCTAATGCACTAGAGACTAGAGTTATATCTGAGTAAAACCACTGTAGAGCATAGTCGGTCCCTGTCTTTACAAGTGAGGGTTGAGAAGTATGCTCAGCAGTATATGTCAGTGCTGTCCCAATAATGGAGCAAGAGATCATTCCTGAGTGATGTAAATCACTCCACAAAGGGACTTAGCATGTTGCCCCACAGTGGTCCCAGCGCTTACCAGTTCAGTTCATGAAGACCAGAAATGGGTCTCAAACTCAGTAGCACAGCTGAGCACTACCACTAAGTGATCCATTAGTTCACACTGGCAGATTTTTTTATATATTTATTTCGGTATTTATTTATCTCTGTCATTTTTTTCCATAGGATACAGGGGTAAGGAAACAGCTTTTTGACTGAGAAACTCTTTGGATTTGTGCCACATTAATACATTGTTATTTTTCAATATAAAACCACAGATCAGAGTCTCCAGAATGCTCCGCTGCTCCAACAATGCTCGGCAGCTATAAACCTAACTTTACAGCTGCTGTGTGTCACCGGAGCAGTGCAAAAGATAGCAGAATATATTGCTGAATGTGGTCCCATAACCTTAGCCTGGGACTGACTCACCACTGTTACCCTAATTCTTTGCTGATTTAACTCCATTGATTTCAAGGTATCCAGTTTGATACCTATTGAGCTACATTGGCATAAAACTGGAGTACTACAGTGGTGAATCAAGCCCAGCATTTCAGAAGTGACAAATATGTGAATTTCTATGTTTCATGCTTGATTTCACAAGCAGTGTGAAAAAAATCACACTCCTGCTGGCTAAGCTGACCTAGTATACAACCATCTGTTAATACCATACATGTTCTCTGCCACACCTACCAGATCATGCCTTGGTTAAAGATCAGTCCCAGCACATTTCCACTTATATCAAACTCTGAATATGAAGGCTGAAAGAAAAGGCACAATGCTTCCATTAGGCTTGCAGATAATGTTTTAAACTGACACAGAGCTGTAGATTAAAATTGTCATCTACTACAGCAACAACATACTGGCAATGTCTTCTCAAGACTCTTCTGTTGCATATTAACAATGATTCATGAAACAAATGAATAGGACTCAAGATCAATGTATTGCCTTCAGTACAGCCTGTAATATTTCATTATAAATCTTATTGAGCTTTTTGAAGAGGTGAAGGTACTACTGGAAAGTACAAAGAGTTCCATTTTTATTGGATATGCTTTGAACTTTTAAACAATGATTCATAGATTCTAAGTCCAGAATGAACAATTGAGATCATCTAGTCTGACCTTGTGTATAACATAGGCCATAGGATTTCCCATTTAAATTAGAGGATATCTCTTTAGAAAAAATGATTTAAAATTGTACAGTGATGGGGAATCCACCACAACCCTTGGTAAATTGTTCCAGTTAACATTTGCTAATTACTTTCACTGTTAAAAATGTGTACCTTATTTCTGGCCTGAATTTGTCTAGCTTCAGCTTCCAGCCATTGATCTTCTTATCTGTTTGACTGTTCGACTGAAGAGTCCTCTAGAATCAACTTTTCCCCCCATGTAAGCAATTAGACTGTGATCAAGTCACCGTTAACCTTCTCTTTGATAAGCTAAAGAGATTGCACTCCGTAAGCCTATTCCAATCCTTTCATCATTCTCATGGCTCTTCTCTGAACTCTTTCCAATTTATCAACAACCTTCTTGAATTGTGTACTCCAGAACTGGACATAGTATTCCAGTAATGGTCACCTCTGGGCACTTATCTATGTATAAGTGTGTGTGAATGTATTAGAGCTAGTCAGAAAATGTTGGGGGAGGGGTGCAACTAGGGGAAGGCTGGAAAAGGTTGCACCGACACCCTTAGGAAATACTATAACTGTGTATTTGATTTTGCAACCTTAATGTTCTCTTAACATAACTTTTGATATGAAATATACATGTCTATATATAGTGCTGTGATATGTATGTTGTTTATATAGCCTTTGCTCTAAAGTAAAAGAATACTGCCGGGCAATACAAACTCTCACTATTTTATGGATAAGTAAAGTGGATTTTAGTTTACTTCATACAGTATCAACTATCAGTTTACTACTGGTGATGATGGAAGAGGCAGAATGAACACAGCCTGATTTTTTTTTTTTTTTTCAAATTAAATCGTGTCAACAGGGTTGGCAGTGGGAAAATCGGGGGCAGATTCACCAGTAAATTCTGGCTGCTTTGTGTGCTCCAACAGCATTTGTAAACCTGGCTTAATTAGCTTGGATTTTGTCTGCTTTACATTACTAGGGCTGCACAAGGTATCTAGACTGCACTGGTGAATCTGGGCCCTTAACTTTTGACTTGTAAACTGAGCAAATCTCTTAAATGTGACCTTGAATTATCCATAGCTAGTTCATTTATCTTCATCAACCAGGAAATGTATTAGTGGCACTTAGTGAATAATAATCAATAACAAAAATAAGGAATCCACTTACTCCCAAGTAAACGTTCCATAACTTTCATTAACATTTAATCAGAGCATCCCATTTGCTGGCTGCCCCAGGATCACTGACAATGCATATTCCCAGGCAAGCAATCAAGAGTGTGTGACTATCCTGTCAAATGTAGCTGTCCTGTGCATGGCAGGCCTGCTCAAGCGTAAAAGGTATGAGACATGGTCTTGCTCTTCTAGTCCACATTTAATTAGAGCTCTTGTCTGTCCAAACTATGCTTTAGTGATTTATTTGTTATTCTTTTAACATACAAGAAGGTAGCTAAAAGCAATGGGGAAGCAAAAATTAGGCAGTGGTATGAAATACTAACTGGAGAAATTGAAATGATGAATGGCTGAATAGAACTCCTGATTCAAGCGTAAAAGCTAGAAACTAAGACCAGCCAGTTTAATACTTTACATCCAAGTGAGTAAAGCCGGGTCTATACTATTCTGAGGGCTAAATGACGTCTTTTATGAGTCAGGGAAAGAGGGAGGAGGAGCATGGCCAAAGTAGCTGGGTCAGGAGACATGATCTCTTGGTAGGGTGCAATGGCATTGGGTAGAGCACAATGAGCAACAGGACTTGCTTCAAGTTGAGGGCCCATTCAGCAATGTACTTAAGCACATACCATTTTTAAGTGTGAGTAGCCCGTTGACTTTAGTAAGATTATTCCCAAGCTTAAAGTCATAGTTTGGCCTAAGCCTATATCACCTCGTTGTCACTTGTTCTCAAACAGTACCTGTAACATCTTTCCCAGGAATCCGGGACAGCATTATATTTTGGGGTAATGATGATGATCTAACAAGTGACATTTCTTACTGTTTGCATTTGGCCAGGCTTTAGAAACCACCAGGAAGCAAATTGGCATTTTTTTTTCATCTTTTTTTCTAAAGCCAACAATGACGTTAGCATTTCCTGTAGAGATCAATAAAGGCGTTCCTGCCACTTTGGTTCAGGGACTGTGATTATCATCCATGCAGTAAGATTTACAGTACATCTGCTCCCATGGCCTTTGGTACAAGCAATATGCAGATGATACTCAGCTCTATATCTCCTTCACATCAAATTCTGGCACCTCCCATCTTTCCCAGGGCTTCAGCGAGATAAGCACCTATGTGAAGAGCAGCTGGCTGCTCTTAACACTGGGCAAATCAGAGGAGCAGTTTGTAGGAAGAGGGAAACAGGCCAAGCCTATAACATCACTCTAAATGGACGGCATCTGCTCTCCAATTATCAGAGTGGCATGAAGGCTTGGAGTCATTCTGGACTTTTCACTGCTCCTGGATCCCCTAATAGCCATAGTACCCAAAAACACCTGTTGCTACTATTGGCTGGTAAGGAGGCTGTGCCCCTTTCTGTGCAATGTGAGATTGGCCACAATGATTCATGTGTTCCTCACCTCCAGGCTCAACTAGCACAATGGCTGTGGTAAATTTGAAGACTGATGAAGCTCCGGCTGGTCCAACACGCAGCAGTCCATCTACTAAGTAGCACAGAGCAATGAGAGCACATCATTCCAGAGCTTCACATGGCACACTGACTCCCTGTCCAACACTGAGTTTCATTTATGTGCCTGGCTTTGACATTACAGAGGTTGTGCCTTGGTTATCTCAGGAACTGCCTTTCTCTTGAGACCAACCACAACAGCTCGATTTGTCAGGGGGGTGCTGGTGTTAACAGTGTGTGACAGACCCAGACCAGTGGGGTACAGGAGTCTGGTAGAGGGCAAATATACTGGTCACAGGATGAGTAGTTTTCTGTTCCCTGAGTGACCAGAGAAAGGGGCTGCACTAGAGTAATCAGGGACCTGCTAGAACCAGTTAAGGCAGGCCGGCTAATTAGGACACCTGGAGCCAATTAAGAAGAAGCTGCTAGAATCAATTAAGGCAGGCTAATCAGGGCACCTGGGTTTTAAAAGGAGCTCACTTCAGTTTGTGGTGCGAGTGTGAGGAGCTGGGAGCAAGAGGCGCAAGGAGCTGAGAGGGTGTGCTGCTGGAGGACTGAGGAGCACAAGCGTTATCAGACACCAGGAGGAAGGTGTTTGGAGGAGGCCATGGGGAAGTAGCCCAGGGAGTTGTAGCTGTCATGCAGCTGTTACAGGAGGCACTATAGACAGCTGCAGTCCACAGCGCCCTGGGCTGGAACCCAGAGTAGAGGGCAGGCCCGGGTTCCCCCCAAACCTCCCAATTGACCTGGACTGTGGGTTCTTCCAGAGGGGAAGGTCTCTGGGCTATTCCCCAACCCACATGGTGAATCTCTGAGGCAAGAAAATCCGCCAATAAGCGCAGGACCCACCAAGATAGAGGAGGAACTTTGTCACAAGTGTTAAGGCTGAAACTTGCCACAACAGAGTGCTTTCTCAGTGGCTGGTTCATAGCTATGGAACTCTTCCACAAGAAACTAGAATGGCAAGCATCCTAACCATCTTGCATTAGCTGTCCCTGAATAATAACTCGACTAAATAGCTCAGTGTCATTTTTTCCCCTGAAGATAGCTCCTAATATAATTAATAATAAATCCATGCATACTTTCATGGCATAAAATGAGGAGAGAGGGATGGATGAGGCATGAAAGGAGATTAGTTTTACACACTGCATTCTATTTATTGTGTTGGTGTTAAATATTACCAGGATGGGTGCATTGAAATACCAAGAAATTAACTGTGTAAGGGAACTCTGTTTACACTTAAAATTTTTCTACAGTATGAGCCCTTTACCGGTACTGTATAGCTATACCCGTATACTATAATAGCAAAAGAACTCCTAGTGTTGGCACGGCTTATATCAGCAAAACTATGCTTTACCAGTGTACCCGCTCCCTGAACAAAGCAAGCTATATTGGTAAAAGCACAGTTTTGCTGGTATAACTGTATTTACACTAGGGGCTTTTGCGGGCATATCTAGTCAGCCAGGGATCATAGCCCCGACAAACATAGCTGTTCCAGAAGAAGTCTTTAGTGTAGACACAGACTTAAGTTTACATCAAGTTCAACTCTGAATGCTTTCTATTGTTGAATACAACAAGGAGTCCGGTGGCACCTTAAAGACTAACAGATACATTTGGGCATAAGCTTTCATGAGTTAAAAACCTCACTTCAAATACAAGGAAACAAGGAAAGAACTGGCCTTAGAAAACATCCTACAGACTACGGATGAAATCCTTGCTTCATGGAAGTCCATGGGATTTTGTCAAAGACTTAAATGAAGCCACAGGCTTTCATTCTAGATATTCCGAATGCACCTGTCACCAAACAAATTGAGTCACTGATCTAATCAGGTGAATGTTATGTGATCGTGATTAATCTTAATTAAAACAGCGTTCCAACTAAAACAATTTCTAACGTATCTAAAAGCAGCCCTTCGATGCTTTTTCCCCATCCCACTGGCTGGCTTAGTCATATTAGAAACCATTTAAAGCCTGATTTACAGCTCACAGAAGCCTTTCCAGTGACTTCAGTAGGATATATATTAGATCCTTTAAAATGGAAATGTGTATAAACAAAGCAAAGTAGCAAGAGAGGAGAAAAGATATTTAATATTGTTCAGGGATTTTGAAGTTGATGGGCCTTGTCTTCTCTAAACTTGGGATGCTCAAGATGAAAATACAAATTACTACCAACATGTCAAGTGATAATCTGACAATGGAATTAAGAGAGAGAGAGAGATACTTACAAATCCATACTCCAAGTCCCAGCACCAGCAGTAATTGAAAAACCTGACAAAGACGGCTCTCAGGAAATCCCCAATTATAATTGTGATGTATGTTGTCATAGTGTCAGAGATTGTCAGTCGCACAAATTCCTGTTGACACAATGTTTTCTTTTAAGAGAACGTTTAGGCTAGTAATAAATAAATAATACTGGGAGACATCCCCAGATGTGCTCAGCACATTTTAGAAGAGAGGGGAACTTTCTGCCCCTTTACTATCCCTACTGATCCCTGGGAGTTGCCAGGGGCCAAATTGGCCCCCAGCATGTTAGAACAGTCCGAGGACTGCTGTAACATGGTGGATAACCGCCTGCTAAGTGACCATTACCAACTGGGACTGCCAGAGTGTAATCCAGTCCCCACTGTGGAAAACCTCCTATTCTGGGAGGCAGAAGGGCTGCAACAGTGCAATTCTTAGGTAGATGATATCCTAAATCCCCTTTTCACCCCTGACACTAAGCATTCAAACATGTAGGGTAGACTATGCTCTCTTCCCTCCCCCCAGTTCCCACAGGAATTGGAGAGGGAAGAAGATGGAAAATCCCAACATAAAAGTTTCTCCCTGCCCACATCCCACTGGGAGGCCCCAGTAGATGCTTCCCCAGTTATCAGGCCTCACCCCAGACCTACTCTTCCCTCAATTTTTGGTCCTATTATTGTGGTTTCCAGAAAGTCTGTCACTGTCACTGATGGGTCTCAAATGCTGCTGAATTAAAACCTTTGTTCCTCTGAGACACACAACAGATTGAGTTTCACAGCTTGTAATTCTGCACCAGTGTGTCCAGCAGAGAGCCTGCTAAACTGTTAGTATCTCCCAGGCTATCTGCCCCCTACTGGTGACATCTCCAGTAGGCTTTTTGTAAAGACTGTAAGATTTCCCAATGAAGATCCTGGTTTCCAGATAGGGAAATTGGCTGTGTGACTGGAGCATCAAAAGCTAGGATTCAATGGAGGATCTGGTCTCGGAGAGGAAAAAGCTGGAAGTTAAGAGAAAGAGGATAAGACAAGGTCAAAAGGAGGAAAACAGGTTGCAGGAAGATCACAGAAGCCACTTAGAACATGGATAGCGAAGATGGATATGTATGTTGAACAGAATCAAACAGAACTGCTAGGTACACCCATCACTAAACTGTGCTGCCTGAAACTGCCCACAGTGTTAAATTGCAACACTTGCACCGTTCCATAAAATATGGCGAAATAACTTTTTAAATGCAGTGATGGCTATTCAAAATGTGTAGTTCAACAAGGCAAGTCTTACAAAATCTTGCCTTGTTGAACTACACATTTTGTACCTTTTGGTACACTCATTTTGCTGTCACAAATTGGTCTTGGGTGATCAAAATTCCAATCAAAATGATGCTACTCATCTTCCACATGGTAAATCCATCACCTTTCATGAGTGCTAAATATGCTGTACAAGACAGAGAGAAAGACAAGAGAATAGAAAAATAGAGGAGAAAAGAAATGTTTCCAGTCATTACAAGTTATAGTCAATGTGTGAGGGCAAGGGGAACTGTGAGAGCCTAAGAAGATTCAAAAAAAGGAATAAGTATTTCTCTGCCCATTAGCAAAGGAGTGACATGTGACCCTGTCTTCTCCCAATCCCCAAGTCTTTTCTACTTTAGGGAAATGCCAGGTGAGAACAGAAACAGAGTGGTGCTGATGTAAAATCTTCTAAATAAATTGCATTACCTGCCCTACCATTGTTTCCCAACATGGCCCTCTAGGGACATCTGCAGGATCCACCTGTATTGGAGGAGCAGTGGCATTTTCTGGTATCGTACCATTGTAGAGGCTGGCTTCCCATATTGTCATGTTATACTTCACTATCTTCTCTTCTTCCAGCTAGAAAAAAATCCCAAATGTGCTTTTAATAAACAGGAGATCAACTGTGTGAACTTAACTCAGTGGTTCTCAATCTTTCCCATTCCTAGACCATCCCAACCCCCTAGAATGTCCCTCCCTTATAAGTGGAAGGGAACAATATGGGCACGGTGGAGTGGTCACTGCTAGAGCTGGGGGGTGGGGGTTGGGAAAAGTTACCTATCCTGTGAATTTCTTTGAGATTTTGAAGGAAAAAAAAATCCTGAATCACGATGAAAAGTAAACCTCTTGGAGAAACAATTGCAAAACAAAAATGAAAAATAATTAGGTTTGCATCAATCAAAATGTTTTGTTTTGATTTTGGCCATTTCTTTAAATTTTTGACTATAACTAGCTTAATTTTCTTAACATGAAGTCAGTTTGAGTGAGAGATTTGTGTTCTGAAAATGTCAAAATGAAATATTTTGACAATTTCAGATTTTTTTTTTTTGAGTTGAGGAATTTGTTTAAACCAACTCTTTTTCCAATAAGTTTCAGGTTCAACAAATCAGCATTTTTCTGATGAAAATTTTTTTTTATTGAGAAATTCCTGCCTGGCTGTAATCACAACCTCTTAACACCTGTTTGGTCTCCCTGTAGGTCACAGTCCCATCTTGGGAACCCATGACTTCAGTCATTAGATATTTGAAAAAACACACACATTCAATTCCTGGTTAGCTTGCCTTGAGATTGATCTCATCCATCAGGGCAATGATGAATGTGTATAGATTGCCCAAGAAGAGAGCAAAGATGCGCCCCAGCTGCCATCTCAGAGCTATTCGAGGGTGGTAATTTTCCAGAGAACTGATTACATCAAATAAAGTTGGACAGAACATTCCCAAGAGAGACATGACCATGTTCACCTGCAAAGAATCGCACAAGAAAAAGTTAGAGAGGAGTCCTGGGCTTTTGCTCTTCCCCTGCCATTTTAGCTGGCATTTCACCCAGTGCATAAACAAAACTTATTGTGGGAGTTCACATAAGATGTTTTTATGGGGGATGAAGGTGGAAAAAAATCAGCTGTAATCTACTGTAAATGGATAAAGTTTTCTTAATCTCTGTTTTTAAAGTTCTTTTTACCACTAGCACTGAAAGGAATAATAAAACATTCGTTACTTTATTCTAAAATGGCACCTATTTTCAGGCCAAATTCTGTATCCGATCTGAAGGATTTTCCCATTTCCAATCATCTTTCAAGTTATATCCACCCCTCTTGCATGTTAAAGCTAATAGATTGCCAAAGGGATCTGGGTTTAAACAAAATGAGGTATTTTTAGAACAATGCACCACTAATTCAGTATCTGGGCCCTTATATGGCCCTTAAATAATCTGTATTTGATTGTCCACATTGCAGGTGCAAACCCAGTCTGTCCTCTCCTTTCTGCCTTTTGTGATTAGCATTCTGTAGCTGCACTAACTTGTCTATAAAAAGCAACAGAGAGTCCTGTGGCACCTTTAAGACTAGCAGATGTATTGGAGCATAAGCTTTCGTGGGCGAATATCCACTCCGTCAGATGTCAGACGAAGTGGGTATTCATCCACAAAAGCTTATGAGCCAATATTTCTGTTAGTCTTAAAGGTGCCACAGGACTCTCTGTTGCTTTTTACAGATCCAGACTAACACGGCTACCCCTCTGATACTTAACTTGTCTATATAACTGTATGCAAGTGTATTGAGTTGAATGGTCCTAGAGCATAAAGATATCTGCTAATAATTTTGAAACTCAGTATGGATTATACATTCCACAAACTGAATCTAATTCCATTTGGACTCATAAGGAGTTGGTTGCTGGACTGCAGGCGAAATAGATTTTTGTTCTTTTGTTTGATTTTTTTTACAGATATCTTGGGACTGCCCTGAAATTAACCTCTTCTGTGCCCACTCTTGCCAAAACTTAAACAGAATGTAATACATTTACAACATCCTAATAACAAAGGGTAGAAAGCTGAGGTTACACTTCTGTTTGCACATGTAATGTGACACCAAAAAGGGACTACGCAGGCAAGAAAAATTTACCCTCTTGCATTTGCAACTACAGAGCATTGGTGTCTCGTAGAGTTTCATCAGTGGAAACAGTGTAAGAAATAAATGGCATTTCTATTTGTTGCTTTTCTGTTTTTGGATTTTAATGAGTGCTAATTACTGGATTTTCATATTTATAGACAACCTGTGGCATATTCTGTATGGGGCTTGTAGCACCATGTAATCTCTCTGAAAAGCTGGAGGTTTTATGATGATAGAAATTCAAAGCTGTTTTTATAAATATAGAAAGGTGTTTAATTATCACTATTTAAACAACTAATTCTAACAAAGAAATCACACTTACTTGTTAAACCTGAACAAACAAAAAGTATGCAGCTGCCATCCCTTGCAGCTTCTGGCTTTATAATTGAAGAAGGCGGAATCTATTTACCACTGTGTACTATTAATTTAACAGATGATTGTTCTTAGGTGCTTACCTATTTGGTTTACCTAAATTTGATAGAAATCCTGAACATTGGTTCTTATTGTTCTGCATTATTGTGAGGTGTCCTTACTTTTTATTGGTGATGTTGCTGTTGAACAAAACAGGCATGTTGATAACAACAGACTATCCAAGAGAATCTCAGAAGTGCTTAAGAAACTTTACACTCCTCTGAGTCAGTACGGAATCAATGAACTAATCTCTATAGATAGAGAAATACATGCAAACACAGGTCATAGGTAGATTGGAATTACCATATTGGATCAGATTGGTGGCCAGTCTTGTCCAGCAACCTGTCTCTGACAGTGTCCAGCACCTGATGCTCCAAAGGAGGGTGTAAGCAACTCCCCAATAGGCAGTTACAGAATAATCCGGCACCCAACGGATTCTCATTGTAACCACTAATAATCTGAGGTTGGTTTAAACCCTGAAGTATGAGGATTTATATCCCTTCCAAAATTCTTCCCTCTTTTTAGTGTTTATTATCATAACTGTGTGCTCTTGTTAACATAGATGTCCAATCCCTCATTTTAAATCATGCTAAAGCTGCTAAATCAAAATCTTTGCTAAATCTGACCTCAATGTCATTCTGTGCAATGAGTTCCACATTCCAATTGTGTCCTATGTGAAAAAGTATTTTATTTTGTCAATTTTGAATTTTCCACCTTTCAATTCCATTGATTTTTTTTCCCCCTTGTTTCTCTATTATGAGACAGGATAAACAAACAGAAGTTTCTGAACTTCCTTCTCTCTACCATCCATAAATACTTTTATCATGCCCCCATTTATTAACCTCTTTTCTACAGTAAAATATCCCATTCTTTTCCATCTCTTTGCATGTCAGTGTTTTTTCCATGCCCCTAGGCATTCTTGTTTCCTGTCTCTGAACCCCCTCTTATTCTGCAATATCCTTCTAGCTAATTGCAACCATCAATGAAACACAGCCATTTGTGGGATGGAAGGTGTAAGTCATAAAACAATACACAGCAACACTATGACTATTTAAGTCAGAAGGTGAAGAATATGGTGGGCAATTGAAAATGCAAAAAGAGATTTAGGTAGAAGGATTTTAGGTTCACCAAAATTTAAAAATTAAAAACAAACAAACAAAAACCCTCTCTAGCTGTCTGGAAAATGCCAACCTTTTCAAGTAAATTTCTTTGAATTTTTTTCACATTTTTTCATTGAAATTCATAATTTCATTAAAAACTTTCTTCAGAAACTCAAATCCAACTACATCTATGTTTATGAAGGGAGCAAGGATTCACTCTCGATATTTGCTCTGCTTCAGGGTTAGATACTGGGGCAGATTCTCCATATTGTTCACACCGATATTACATTGGGGTAACTGCAGTAGTTTAAGTGGAATTACACTGGCATAACAATAATGTAATGTAGTGGAAAATCAGGTGTTTCATTCCTAGAGGTGCATGTGCACGAGTGAATTAACCCTGATATCTACCCCTTCCCATATTCAGCTTCTCCATAGCTGCTGGATTTTTGCCAATCACTAAAAATCTGCAAAGAGCAGGAAGTGACCTTCAAAAGTAATGTCTACCCTATGGAGCTGGGATTGTAGGTACACACAGAACAATAATCACCAGATACCCACTAACTAATGTGCAAACTGTAGCTCCAAACACATCCTTTCCCCTCACTGAGAAGTCAACTATTCTGGTGAGCAACCCTTTCCATGGCACTCTGAGGGCTAGAAAATAACAGCTGCACAAGCAGCTCTGATTTTCCCGCTGCTAAGGGAGGTTATGAATCTTGTAAGTAGTGCTGTGACTGCGGTGAAGTCTAAACACAAGCCCCCAGCATCGTAAATCACACCAGCAATTAATATTGAATGCTGATTGCTTGCTGTTTAAATTATAAGTTTAAGAATAAACAGTTTAGAAAATATAAATCACTCTTTCCATTCTTGCTGAATGCAATAGTAATAGCCTTGTCTACTACTGAAGGCAGTAGTAAAGCTCTATTTTTCATGTATTTTCAAATATTGTAACAATTTTTTAACAATTAAGAGGAAGATTTATACTTTATAGTAGCAAAACCTTGAGATGTCTAGAATTAAAACTGAATGTTGACATAGTGATACCTTAAATATAAATGCAGTGATCTACTCTATCCCCACTGCTGGTAGCTCTTACAACAGTTGGAAGGTATTTTTTTGCAAAAATCCATTGTGTTTGAGCTTGCAAGATCTTAAATGTAAAACCTATTTTTTGCTGCTGGAAAGACTTTTTTAATTTAACAAGTCCTCCTTCTCTTTCAAGTGTTAATAACTACTCTGTTTTAGCTGAATCAGTCTGTCTACCCACAAGTTCTTTATGCTTTTATTATATGCCCTTTGTTAAGTAGTTTTATTGCTTAGGTAGTATGGACACTCTGCAAGTACATAAGATAAAGACACACAGATAGAAAGAGAGAATTTATGGATGTGGATTTTCCTCCCATTACCTATTTTCTACTAAATAATAATACTCAGCTTTTATATAGGGCTTTGCATCAGTAGATAGCCAAGCACTTAACGAAGGAGGTAAGGATTATTATCCCCATTTTACCAATGGAGAAACCGAGGCACAAAGCGGTAAAGTAACTTGCCCACATCACCCACCAGGCAGTTGACAGAACCAGGATTAGATCCCAAGTCTACTGAATTTCAGTCCACTGCACTAGGCAACATTGTTCATCACTCAATCACCCCTTGCTCTGAAAATTCTCCCAGTGGAGTCAGTGAGAGGATTGCTGTAATAAGATACTGAACCTTCCTAATAAATCATAGTTTACAGTTCCTTGCTAAGTCAGGTGCTGTTGTGTGAATGTGACCTGTGAGTTAAGCCAGACAACATTAAATAGAGTAAATGCTATAGAGCACCGACTGATGCTCTTCCTTTTTTGTGGCAGAACAAGAATTTTGCCTCAGCTACCTGTAACAAAATCTGTTATTTTAATCTCACATACACCAGTGTAAATCAGGAGTAACAGCAAAGACAGTGGAGTTACACCAATATAGAATCAGTGTAAGCAAGAGGGCAATCAGGCCCAGTCTTTTATTTGGTCTGTGCTGTGGGGAAGTGTGCTACATTTGTTAGACCCAGACTTGTGTGTGTGTATGTTTGTGAATGTTACATGTCGTGTTTAACCAAAGACTTAATGGAACTCTCCTATGTCCTTGAATTTAGTTTCATTTTGCTTGAAACTGTGATTCATGACTTCTGTCTTTGCTTGTATTTACCTGCAGGAACCAATAACAAAGGCTTAACACAGAAACGTTAGTGTTAATATTCAACCCCATCCATCTTTTTGGCTAACCCACACAATGCCATTAACAGGCTGTATTGATAAAGTAGGTGAGGCCCTGTCACTAGTTGCTTTGAATGTGTACAAGAAATTAGATAGGTTTAGGTATGGAGGAGGAGGAGTTTATAGTCAGGGCTGGAATTGAAGTGGGGGAGCTCAGTGAGAAAAGCTATTTTAAAAAGCAAAACAAAACACGACTGTCTTAATGAATATGGGAAACAGAGAAAAGAAAGGGAAATCCCTTGTTACACATTTACCATCCAAGCCCTAATTAGAAGACTACCAGAAAAAAAGCACCATGGAGAGCAGAGAGAGAGAGACCTGTGACTTCAAACCACATCTATTTCATAACGTGTGCTGGGACTAACTTCATTTCTCTCCCACCAGCCATAGTTATCCAGGCCCTCCAGGGCAAACTTCTGGGATCTCCTCACAACAAAATAGATGAGGTAACCACTCCCGGCCAGTGTGCACAGGGCCAGGAAGTTAGCAAGAACTCTCAGGAATCGGGTTAGGTGAATGTTTTCTTCTTTTCGGTTCTCCTGCTCCTCCACAATAGCTTCCTGCACTTATTGGAAACAAAAGTGTAGCTGTAAGTGAGCAGCATTAAAAGCATCAGGCTCTATAACAGAGTCTTTTTAAATGAGTTGTGATGAATGGACTTTACTCTTGGGCATCAGGTTTCTTAAGAAGGTGACATTGTATCAAAATCTCTGTTGGAGCCGTAGGGCATTGCTGGATTTGGCTTGCATGGGTATCGTCCGGCTCATTTTCTATGGCTTTGTCCCCATTGAGTTTCATTTTGAGTTTCTCTTACACCTGAACTCACATGCCAAAGCTGTGATTCAAAACAAAGCCAGCACTGACAATGAATTCACAAGGTGCTGTGAGTTGGGAGACCCAGAAGGATAAGTGTATGACCAGTTGTCAGAAATCTTTTTGTTAAGGAACTGGGAAACTTGAAAAATGTGTCTCTGGAGACTGCTAGGTTTCATTTTGAGGGTCTGCAATTCAGGGAGACTGAAAAGGGTTTCTGTATAGGAACCCCAGACTAGACCAAGGCTGGATGATTTCAGATTTTGAAATGAAACATTTGCACAACATTACTCTGTGTAGAGTGCAGATGAATTTCAGGGCTCTTGAGTAACTAACCCTACTTCCACCCCTTCCTAGCTTCATCAGCAGAAAGAGCTCACACTGCCACCAAGATGTCCTTGTGGAGGGAGCGTTTAGTTACAGCTTCTTACTTTTCTGTACATAAATGTATCTTTCGCCCAGTAGGGCAGCTGGATTACTGCCTTCTAATAGCTCTATGTAGCTCTGCTTCCTTTATTCCACTTTTGTCTATTACATAAGGGAAATGAGAGAGCAGAAATTCTTGAGTGGAGCCCTGACCCCACTGAAGTCAATGGCAAAACTGCTGAGCTCAGTGAGGCCACGAATTCACCCTTTGACTGTTCAGTTCCTGGCCTGTTCATAGAAATGAAGGTAGGATGGTTACATCATGGGATATCTATCAAGACCTTTACTCTCTCTCTCAAGTGATTTTCACTCTTTTCATGCCAGATCCTGGCTGCCCCCACGTAGGTATAGGATAATGTGAGGAGAGGACACAGGCAGACCCTTCACAGCCCTCTAACCCCCACGGGAATCTGCACAAAGAGCCACTGTTGCGTGAGCGCCTTGGGCCTTATTCTCCACCCACAGGACCCGAGTAACTTCCAGTGAAATTACTTGTATCCTTGTATGGGGGAGAAAGGCTCTTTATGCGTAAGGCAGGGGTGGGGGGGGGAGGATTATTAGCACCCTGGACAGTATGCCAGAAAGCACAGGGGCTGTGGCTGGCTGAGTAGTGTGGAATTAGTGGTGCTCTAGTTTGTCTAATTCCTTAACACAGCCCTAGCCTCCTGCACTCTCCACACCAGCAATGGATGAGAGTGCATGCTACCTCTCCCAAATGAAGTGCATGGTAGAAGCGGCTCCTGAATGTCCTAAGGTGCCTGTCTCAGCACTCCAGAGGCAGAATGCCTCCAGCCAATGTGGCTGTTGCACTACCCCTCACACACCCATGAGCACGCCAGAGATCACTAAAGTCACCAAACAGTCCTAAGTCTAGAGTCCAGTCAGTGAATGTGCTGTTTTCAGAGTAGCAGCCGTGTTAGTCTGTATCCGCAAAAAGAACAGGAGTACTTGTGGCACCTTAGAGACTAACAAATTTTGTGCTGTATTGCACAGGGAACCGGGCTGTGTTTCCCTGTTCAGTTGAAAATAAAACATTTGTTGTGAGAAAACACAAAATGACCTTTTTTTTTTTAATCTTACTGAGATGCAGGTGTGGTGTCAAACTTCTGAATCAATTTTTTTTGACATGCCAAATGGGCCCTTGTAGCAATGACATTGCTGTCTAATGGTATCTCTTCAGAGTAGCAAGAGAATATGACAATGTCAGTGCTGCAAAATGTCACCAGCATTTTTCAAACAAAACATTTTTTAAAATAAAAGCACCATAGAAACTGGAAGCTAGGAAAGGTGAGGAGAAGAAGAAAAACATGCTTTGCACAGGAATCATTTTGCAAGTACATGGACAACAATCCCACAGAACACATCCATTGCTACTAGTACTGCTTACCTGGAGTCCTAGAAGGAAAGAGCAAGTGAGATACCACAATACCTAGTTCCACTCTCATCCTGGTTTTACAGCGATATATTTCCATTGATTGACTGACTTTGGTGTGAAGGGAGAATTAGGTTCCCTCTCTCTAGTGAGCTATATCTTACCTTAAAGCTTGTTGTGATTGAGGCAAACTTATTATCTGCTGTTTCAGGATTGCCGATCAGGTAATCCCAGCTAGTGAACATTTTCCAGCTGAAATTAAAACTTGTATCATCCCCACCACCTTCCTCATTTGCATTCCTTGCCATTCTGTAAAGGCCAAAAAGATGTACAAAGTACCCAGGGTTAGAAAGAAGCAGCTGGCTCTGTTAAATGGTTTAGATTTTCAAATGTTCCTAATGTCACATAATATCATTTCATTTCCCCCCCCCCCAAATCCAAGAAATACACTCCAATCCCATGATGTTGAAGAAATGATGGATAGAATATATCCAGTGGAGTCAATTCATTTTCTCACCATTATAAATTATATTTCTTATTTGTTTCTTCAGTAGCACATTGGAGAAATTCAGTTGGAGGAGAAACTCAGGAGAAAACAAGATATCAAGAGGGAGGACTAAGTTATCTTAAACAGAAACCTATAGAACACACTACAGTGCTGCTAATCAGTTCCTAGGTGTGACCAAGAGAAAAATAAATTCTAATAACTAGCCAGGGAAAAAAACCTGGTTGCACCGAATAAACAAATTACAAATGCTGCTTTTTTTTATGCTGCTAGTTACTATGTGCTTATAACTGGATTTATAATAGCATCCATCAATATCAAATTATTTCTTAAGTGGCTTGACTTCACCTTGGACTGCTAACTTCCCTATTTCAAGGTATTATCAGCCTTGTAATGTTGATGGTCAGGTTGCTGTAGATTATATTACTTAATTCAGCTCATTAAGCACAAGGAAGGGAGTACATTACTAGGGAATGATAAATTTAGCCTTGGATTCTTCATTAATTTCATGCTCAGGGTAAAACAATTTCTATTTTAAGGTTATGTTGTGGAGCAGAATCATATTATTAGACATAAACAATGTGAACCACAAAACTCCTAAAATGCACAAGAAAACATATATGCATTAACCCAGGTAATTGTCTGCTATACAGCATTCCTGCTTTCTCATCTGTGGGGATGGCGTTGTCTCTGGCAGCTGAGCTGGTGTGGAGTTGATACCGCGGGTAGGAGTGGTGGAAGATACTAACAGCACAAACGGCTTCTGAGTTGGCCTTGTGACGCTTCTGCCCTGCTGCTGCTCTGAATCCTCTCACAACGTCTCATTCTCCCCAGTTCCCAAAAAGAAAGTTGGTGAACAACTCAGTGTTTGGGGTGTATGTAAGATGGAAGGATTTGGTCCAACATGCAGTTGACCAATGTATCATGGGAATTTGGATATTAAAATGCACATTTTGTGTGTGTAATTATTGTTTTGTATCTATATGCATTATATTACATGTGAATCTAGGCAGCTAATTTTGAGTCTGTTATCATATATGTATCTGAGGTGCAGATTTCTCGGTGTACAGTCTCTGCTAGTCGTTTGAAGTTGCATGAAAATAATCTGTTGTGAATATTTCTTCTGACACCTCTTGTCCACATAATCCCCTTCTCTTTCGGAAATCATCTGGGAAAATACTCTCCACTATCATGTTCCACAAGCATTTAAAGAATATAGAAACACTGCATGGTCATTATTAAAGCAAGCAGCAACTAGATAGAGGAGATATATACTCACTGTTTACCATTACAGAGAAGAAAAAGAGGAATGAGGGAAGGCACAATAGTCTCCCCAAATCCAACAGCTTCCTTGTGTCAATTTCTTGAATCTACCATACCTTTCTGTAATTTGATTCCTGACCATATGATCCAGATGGAGCATTCTTGTATAGAGACAGGGTCCCAGAGAGTAACATGGAGCTTCTGGGCCTGGGTGAATGCACAGACTCTTGTAGGATGCCCCAAGAACTGCAAAGAGCACCTATGGATTTCAGAATAGTTGTAGGTATGGGCAGCCACATCCCCTGCCCACTCCTTGGACAGGCAAATCTGGCCTCAGCTGCATGATGAACTGGAAACTCCTTAAGAGTTTGAAACTAAAATTATCTTAAATATGTGACTTCTGCAACCTTAAGGCTGTGGATTTTTCCACTTAGTGTTGGGTTGGTGAGTGAGGGAGTTGCTGATTTGTGCCCTAACTCAAAATGGTTTCTATAAATGTAATAGTCAACTTCTCTCTCTCTCTCTCTCTCTCTCTCTCTCTTCTCTGCCCTCAACCATCAGCAAAAGAACAACAATCCTAATGACACTAGGTTTTAACTTCTGTGCTTATTGTATTGCAATGAAAAAATGGCCTAAGCAGAAGATTATATAGGGTTACCTAAATGTGGACTAGCACTAGTATCTGTGGCCAGATGGAAATTTAGCACATATGGTATATGTTTCCCCAAGGATATTCCCTTTGTTTTGGCCTCAGAGAGTCTGTATTATAAGGATTCTTTTTTCTGGTTGACAGCCACTCAAATATAATTCCCTGAGGATTCAGTGAGAAGAATCTCCTAATCTTCAGGCATATACCATCAAAGAAACGTTTTTAAAAGCTGTTTTAGGTCAAAAACTATGCCTGCTGCATCAAAATGTTTTGTTCTTTCTCCAAACACACACATTATTTTAAACAAAAAGAATGCGGCCATTTTTTTGTCTGGGAATGCTGCTTACCTTATCTAAGCAACCATGTATTGTTTGAGTTAATCTAGTGCTTGTGAAAGTGAAAAACAAACAACCTGACACAGCACATGAAGGATTTGTGTGAGTTTCTGCTACCCAGCTGCACTAGAGCACCAGATAATCCTGACTTGCGATGGTCTGACTTTTCCGATTCTGAGCTTGTTCTAAAGAAACACTTCAGTATGCTTGTTTAGTTATTGGTGTTTCTTATGTTAGGGGGTTTTCTAGTGTGAGCAAATAGGTACTATGAACAAAATCACCACTAGCAAACCACCAATGGAGTATCCCCAGTTAATACCAGGAGTGAATTTGGCCCTAAAATAAGACAGCCAAACTCATTTTCACTCTGGATCTAAACCAGGATTTAAACCTAGAATTCCAGAGGTGGAAGTGTAATTGTTTAGTGCACTAACCCATCTAGTCTCCCTTTCCTTTCTCCCACTTACCCATAGTCTTCCTACTGTTTTTAGTATTGTGCTCTAAATATAATTTAATAGAGAAAGCACAACTGGAGACTACTTTGTCTGCCATAGGACACTAATCCTTTACCATGACCAATGGTATTAATTCTGCTACACCACTGTGTAAATGTGAACTAAACACTATAATCTTGCTGAGAATCATTTACTGCTCACTGTGACTTATACAGCTGAACTTTTTGGTCAGGTGTTTTCCTCTTCTTCCCTTTTTTTTTTTTTAATTTACTTCACACCAGATATGATTAAAAGAGGAACAACTGAATGGCCTGGACGTTATCTGACATTGTGCTAGATGCAGACTATTATAGAAGGAGGGGTTGAGAGCTTTGTTCCCTGAAATACACATTCATTTTACACCTTTAAGATGCAAAGGGAAAGTGTTATGTTATTTCAGTAAAGATTTTTTTTCTCCACCTCTGCCGGACTGAGACACGCTTTCTGGTACAAATAAATAAATACTGGCCTACGAAATTATAAATGGCTTTAACATAGTCCAGCATTTCCTTGCAGCTTTGCCCCACCAGAGCTGCATCAATCCTGCTGTTAAAACTGCTACATTATCCTTTGTGAAGAGAATTGCATTTATTTTAATTCGTTCTTTACTTCCCAAAGACCGAAGGAACTTACGTTCGGATGACAACCATGTAGCTATAGGCAATGGTCCCAACTCCCACAAGGAAATAGGAAAGAGGCATCCTGAACTTCAGCCAGCCAATTGTTCTCTGGTTGTTGTAATAGCCATAAAAGAGCACAGAATACTGTGCAAGGCCCTGAAAAGTAAATAGCAGGTAACAGCTTAACTAGCCTGTTATATACATACATACACACACTAAACCTCATGAAACTTCACCAAAAGCAGTGAATACCAAAGAGACATTCATTTTTATGCCTTCATGACATCTCCAGACATCATTATCGTAAACCTAACAGCTGGGGCCTGACTATTCTGTGAGAATTCAGAACAGCCCTGTTTTGGAGCCTTTAAAGAGGATCTGAAAAATATGTCATGTTGATTGTCAGCTCCATAACCTGTCAGGTACTTCATAGATTAGACACTTCATCTACAACGTAGCAGCCGAAAGCTTTTTCAACCAAGTGGTTTTTTTGGTTGGTTGTATGTGTGTGTTTTAACAGAGAGTGGCTTTTCAACAAAACAGAAAGTTTGGTTACTTATATTCTATGTTCTTAAAATTTCCCTCCAGTTCCAGTTTGGTATAAAAGTCTTCATTTCTGTCCTAAAGTATTGGGTAGTGTTGCTGTGTGCTGGTTAATAGTTGATACATTTCATTCAGCAGATGGTTGGGTTTCATTGGATACTGAAATGATTCTTGTATCTACAGTTTATAAAACAAATTATTAGGTTGGTATTGAAAAATTTGCATTTCTTTAAAACAAATCATATGAATGAAGTTTCTATTGACTTGGATTGTTATTTTTTCAAAATAATTTAATAGGCAATTGCTGGAGTCTGAAAGTAATCAAGATAGTTGGCTTAGCCTGGTCAAAGACCATTTTGGTTAGAGGAGAGGAGAGCAGTGTATTTAAACCCCTTTGATGAACAGCATAGCACATGCAGAGCAGCAGCGAAGCTCCAAATGGGCACAATTAACTCAAATCAAACACTAGAGTTCAGCATGCCAAAGTATAATTTATTGATATATTGTTGATGAATATGAGATGTGCTGATTGTGAGCTAACAGTGCTAATGCAGAGTGCTTTAGTCCTCCTAAATTACAAGGTCCATTTACTTTCCTTCTGTTTAGCTGCTGGTATTTCTTAAAATTAACCCATTCATAGATTATAATGTCTATAGATTAACATCCTTCTGCTTTGTGTAATCACTAACTATGCATTTGATTTATTGGAGTTTTTTAAATGTCTGAAATGAGTCTCACACAGTCTTCAGAACCTCATTTGCAATTCTTCTGAAAGTGAAAATGAAATATGAATATACGGTAACTAAAGGTAATATTCACAGATTTCTTGGTTTGGTAATCGATGTATTGGTATCAGAACAGCTGTAGAGATGCAGGAGAGACAATATTAAGCATCTGATTCTAGGAGAAAGGGAATATTATTATTTATTTGTATAGCACCAAAAGTGAGCAGGTTTGTCTTTAGTTACTATACTTCTATTAAGAAACGGTGTAATTTCATGTAAGAATTTATACTGGGCTTGGATTGTCTAATCTGTAGTTGTACATAGCCTCATACATTTCTGGATGTCTGTTTAGATCACACTAAATATTAAAATATCTTTAAAGTCACCATGTTCTGCTAAGTCAGTGTTGTCATAGGTGTTTTAAAGCCTTTAGATGAGCTCTGCACTGTGAGTAATTGAGGGTGGTTGTTTCCTGGGCTTTGCCTACTGTATTTAACTGTGAAGCTTGATATATTTTTAGCTGTGAAGTGGTAGCCATAAGTATAGGGTCTCACTCTACACTCTTCCCACAGCCTAACACAAGCTAGATGAGCATATTCTCTTTAGTAGTATCCATGATTATAATGAGCCTTGAGATTTTGATTGCTGTGGAGTAGGGTCTGAGCTGTAGATTATATAAATATAAAAAATTCAATTCAAGATTAAAATACAAAAGGCAACAGCAATTTAGCAATTTCTGCAGGATGAAAATAGCCACATTCTCAAGGATGATCAGGGCAGGCACAATTTTCCCCCTCATGTTTTGCTACACATTTTAGAGCCCTTTTTTTAATTATTTCTGAAAGAAATGTTATTGGGGAATTACTCCAGAATACAAAAAAAATGTTTGATTAAATATGCACATTAGTTTATCATTTTATTTTGGACCTGAAAAAATTATTTTTGCCTCTAAAATTGTCTCAGCTATATAGTCCCCATTCCCATCCTTGTCTGGATAAAGGTTTCATTGTCCCTTGCCAGATCCTGTTTCTTTCTCAGTTACTAGGAGCCTCTCCTCTCCTGCTGCCATCTCTTTTCTCTCAAGTCTTCTCTCTTTTAACTTCTCCATACAATTGTATAAACATCTCTCCCCTTCTTCTAGGATCCACTCTTCTTAAAAGGGTCTCCACGTTGCTACAAGGCTCACTTTTCTCCTCCAAGGTCCATCTCTGCTGCAGTACTTCCTCTCTTTTTAAATAGGCCTCACCACTTGACTTCATTGCTGTGTCTCCTGCTACTACCATTCAACCATTGTAGCTCCTGATCATCTAAATACAACGGAGTTCAACTCTGTTAATTACTAACATACATCAGTGATTGCAGAATGTTATTGAGTTGCTCCTTGTAATGGACCAGGAGCTCACCCAAAAAAGTACATTGACCTCCTTTCATGCATCTAAAGAGGGGCCATCACTTTGTTGCTAAAGGAAATCAGCTCATCTGGCCAGTTACCACTTTACATCAGGCAATGTGGAGAGAGGTAATGTGTTACTTTGAACACTTTATTAAACTAAAATTTTAAAAATTCACTGGGTTTCAGTGAGTCAGCCTGGAAGTACTGCATTAAAAGTCAGGAAGTCAGCATACAGATCAATGTATCCAGTATGGTATTCTGTCTGAGAGTTTAAAAACTTGCTACCCTGCTGAAACTGTCCAAAGAAATAAACGAATGGGCCAGAGTTCATTCCAGGCCAGTGGTGCATCCCATCAGAGTAATCTGATTGCAGGCCGCAAGACATTTTGCTGACATTGACCATCCGCAGGCACGGCCCCCCACAGCTCCCATTGGCTGGGAATGGTGAACTGCGGCCACTGGGAGCAGTAGGGGGGCCGTGCCTGTGGACGGTCAACGTCAGCAAAATGTCTCGCTGCCCGCAATCTGATTACCCTTATGGGCTGCATGCAGCCGGCAGGCCGCAGGTTGCCCACCACTGTTCCAGGCACTGTGCCAGAGGTAAGGCCCCTAATAAAAAAATCCACCTGGGGATGAAGTGGCACAAGCCTGGGGCCCTCTCTAGGCAGCCAGCACATCCTTGAAAGTGGGCAATGTTGATGGGAGGAATGGCCAAAGGCTGAGCTAATTCAGTGAACCCCTACCACAGCCTCTGTCTGCAGGGCTCCTAGGATATTCCAGAATTTACATCTGCCCCCAGCTGGCAGAACTCCCTAGGGTGAGCAATGGAACACTGTCCACAGCCCTCATCACCCTTCCTGGCATCAGCAGTCCGAACCAAGGAGACTTTAACTCCTTCATCCTTTGAGATATTTTTAACACTTCTCCTAGTGCTTATGAGTATGAAGAGAATGTCTGGCTGTAAATTGTTCAAAGAAACAGACTCCCAGTTTCACCTCCCACATATACCTACCTTTGCTGAAATCCATAACAAGTGCTTAAAGTTAAACATGTTCATAAAGATTTGAAGGATTGAGGCCTAAATGTAGAAGGGAGATTGTACAGAAGCTTCAGGCAAAGTCACCCTTATCTGAATGCTGTTCCCTATAACTGGATGATTTCACCTTTTTTGTTTGTGCAAAATCCTTTACAATGACCTCTGCAGCTGCCTGAAAGACAACGCGGAGACTTTCATTGCCTTACAACCAAGGTACCGTTGTCTGGACTCATTGAAATATGGAATTTATCCTCAACACAGTCATCTTAAATTTATTTCATGTTTACGAAAGTAATCACACTATGGAGGCATGCCCTGTGTGAAAAGTGGTGAAAATATTGTTTCAATAAATAAAAGTATTGTACGGTATTTAGAAGTCTTCCTTCAGACTTTCAGTTAAGGAGGTTCATCTCTTAAGGATACGATGAGCTTCAAAGAAACAATAAGGGATTCAGCCATCCATCCCACTACAGCTAAAATATTTGCAAATTTAAAAACCAGAATTTTGCTTCTAGTCTATCTTTTAAAAAAGGCCTAAAGTACGAGGTTTTCTCTTACATGGAACTTATACAGCACCACCAATTTGAAGTCTAAATGCATATAATCCCAGAGGGTCAAATTCATCCATAGTCCAACTCTACTGAAGCAAATGGAATTACACCAGAGACTAAATCAGTCTAGACTCTTATTCCCAAATTCCTCTCCTTTTTTATTCCCAAAGACACAGTAATGGACATGGAATTTTCATATGTTCTGTTTTTAGATCAAGACAACATCTATACTCAGAATTAATGAAAAGGGGATTTGAATTGGTTTCTATCCATTTGAATGATCTCCTGACATATTTCATATTAAACTACTGAAATTGAACAGTGAAGCAGTTCTTCACTGAGCACTGAAATCAAAGCCTTTTAGAGCCCAAAGAGTCATGATAATGTGCAGTATTGCAATAATGTACACTTACACTAAAGTCCCACAAAGTTGCAAAATTCATAGCAGTTCTTTCTTCAGCTCTCGGGACAGTTTTTCTAGGTAACGTGCCATATGGTTTCCCCATCAGCACCTGTAGCCAAAATATGATGAATGTAGATAACAGCTCAAAACACAACACTAACAACTAAAAGTATAAAATGCAGATGCGAACAACTGCACTGGAGATTTTGCTTTGTGTTCTCCTTCACTCCCTACTGATAGCAATCCACCTCTCCAAATCTTTTGCCTTCATACCTTTTATTCGTGATTGACGCTATTACTGAAGTATATTCCATTGCAATTTTTTATTAAATGGTAGTCTACTAAAAATCAGTGGAATGTTAAGCTGTATCTTTTATATTCAGCAGCAACAAAGGTTAAAAATATTCATCAGATCAGTGAGTTCTTTCAGTGATGCAAATTTATTTTTCTTGTGCTATTGATTTTGTTGCTTTTTTTAATAGAAAATATATCGGGTCATTACATGCATATAGTTTTCAGATGATGACAACCAGGATTCTGAAAGTATCTGAGCCTCTGGTGAGATGTTTGCAAAACCATTGAAAGTACTAGGTTAGATTCTAGTCTCACTTGAGTCTTGATATTGTTCCACTGCAATCAATGGAAGTTTTTCTCTTGACTTCAATGGGAGCAGAACCAGGCTCTTAAGGTGGTATAAATCCAAAGTAACTCAATTGGCTTCAATTACTCTACTCTAATGAAAGCAGAATTTGGCCCATCCATTAGAAAGTTTTTGGAAAATGTCATATCCTAAATAAATCTTGTGGGCTTGAGGTTATCTGCTGCACTCACTTACATGTACACACTGGAAGTAAGTGTAATCAAGAGGATATTCTCTATGGCAGAAATTTAGGGGCCAGCCCAAGACCTATGTACCACTTAAATTCCATTTAAGTCCTATTTTGAGCCCTGTTTAAGTCTTATACTCATCCTTTGCATGGGATAATTTCAATTTGAGTTGAATTCCACCTTATGGATAAGATTCTGTGCTGCATGTCTAAGGATATGTCTATACTTCGAGCTGGAGGTATAATTTCCACTTGAGGAGACATGTACCCCAGGCTAGGTCTAAGCAAGCTAGCACTCTAAAAATGGAGTCTTGCCATGGCAGCGTGAGCAGAGGGAGAGGCTAGCTGCCCTGAGTACAATCCCATTCAACATGCTAGGTACATATGTGGGGTGGCTAGCTGTGCCTGCCCTTTGTGCTGCTATGGCTACACCTTATATTTAGCTCTTGATCACAGCTGCCATGGGGTATATCTCCTCAAGCAGGAAATAATAGCTCCAGCTCAAAGTACAGACATACTATTAGAGGTGCAGCACAGAACTCACAGTCCAGGAGATGGGGGCTAAGGTAGCTTTAAACCACCTTGTGCTCCCCACCCCCCTCCACTGCCAGTCCTGGGCTGCTCCAGGTATAGAGTGGGGATGCCCCGATGTAATTTAGACAGACTTCATGGACTGCCCTAAGAGTCACAGCACTTCCTGGAATATCCCCAGCACTGCAGGATGCAGCCCTGCCTCCCACACTTGTCTCACGCTCAGCCCTGCTCTGGCATGCCCTCCCCCATGCCAGGGGGTGTTAAGTTCTTGGGAGGCAGCCTTATAGTTGTCTTCTGCAATGCCTGTGCCAGGAATGCTTCCCTGGGCAGAACCAGGGCGTTTAGATCTGTTTTACACTGCTGTCCTTTTTCATGGCTTAAAGGAGCTGGAGCATTGGTAGGGATCTTGCCCTAAGTGTTCTAGTAACAAAGGTAAAAATTTTAAGCAACATTTCTGAGTGACATTTTATTCCCCTATAGAAATAAGAAATGCAATTTAAAAAAATCCCAAATCATGCATTCTCACCTCAGGCACCATTACAAGGCCAAATGTCAATCCGAAGAGAATCATATTTATTCCATACATCCAGCGCAAGAATATGAAATAAGAAGCTACTGAAGAGCCAAAATGACCTATGAAAACATTTGCAGTGACAAAAAGACAGATCAGTCGATATTCTTGTCTTCTTACTTTGAGACAAGATTACTTGAACATTTTCATGGGTGCTTAAAATACAAAAAAATCAGATTTTTCTTTATTCTATATTAATACCTATAATTTTATCATTTTAGTAATTTTTCAAGATTGCAGACTAGCATTCACTTCCTTGAAATGATTTAAAAAACAGAAGCCAAGAAAACCATTTACCAAAGATTATACATTTATATTGAAGGAATATAAATAACATGATACCAACACAATGGAATAGAACTTCAGGATGATCTCCTAGGGCCAGATGTTCAAAGGTATTTGGTTGCCTAAGGATGCAGAAAGGTGCTTAGTGGGATTTTCAAAAGTGACTAAACAGATGAGGCACCTAACTCCACTTGAAATCAGCAAAATACCTTTTAAATCCTGGTCTCTAGAGCTTCTAGTGCCTTTTTACATGTGCTTTGTTTCTGGCCTACTAGCCAGGGAGAAAGCAAAGTGTTGCTGGAAAGACAGCTTCCGGAATTTAAAAAAATACACGCACACTATTCTACAGCAGTGGTCCAAAACACTAGAATTTTGCAATGGTGACACTACGATTGCTGTTATTGTATAGAATACAGTGGTATTTTTATACTAAATTGCTAACAGGCTGGTGTCTGTCACAACACCAGATGCAGAATACCTTGAGAACCAGGAGTATACAGTTACTCAATACAAAAGATTCTTCACAACAGTCTCATTAGTCTATGCATCACCAATATAAAAGTTTTAGCAATGACAACAAGGGATGGTTTAAGATTCAGGTTTAAGGAAACAAGTATATACTGTGTGAAAGAAATGGGAAAGATTTAGGTAGGAAAGAAGAGGGGAGGTTGCTTGATCAGGGGGACAGAGTATTTAATTGAGAGCTATGAGCTGTTCAGTTCTGCCACTGACCAGCTGTGTGACTTTGAGCAAGTCAGTTCATTTCTTTTGCCTCTCTTTCCCCTCCCACCCTTTGTCTGCCTTGTCCATTTTGACTGTAAGCATTTTGGGGCAAGAATTGTCTCTCTCTGTGTTTGCACCATGCCTAGCACAACTGGGCCTTGATTTCGGTTGAGGTCTCTAGGTACTACTACTATATTAATAATAATAAAATAATAGCTGTTTAGGTCCTGATTCTGCAATACTTATGTGAAGAAACCTTCCACTGAAATCAAGAATCAAACGCTTTATGATTAAATGAAGATTTTTTTTATCCCTACATGGCTCTGGAGGTGTAGCTGCTGTAACCCAAAACCTTGGTCATATGACCTTTTTATTTACTGCTAAAATGGCTCCTGTTGGTTTGGAACATGTGAGCATTTATTGTGCCTGATGATTTCATGAACTGTTTTGTTACTATTTTCTCTGGTAATGGCCCTCTTGGTGCTATATCAGTTAAGATTAGCCTTGTACCCCAGTTAATTCTAACATTTATTGACCTGTAGTTATTCATTAAGCTGTCACTAGCTGGGACTGAATTAGGGAGGGGAGAATCATCCCAGGCCCTTGTTGCAGAAGAACTGAAATACCTAGTCCTGTTTATGTAGACTTTGAGCTTTTACGTTAGTATTTCCAATTGGCACTGCTTGTCCAGCACATTGAACTTTTCAGCTCCTATGAGAGGAAGCCTTTATACCTTCTAATATTAGTTTCCCATACACTTCCACTAGTCGCTCCATTTAAGTAGAAAATTGTAACAAGACAAAGGGACAGGTTTTGCCTCTGACCTGATCTTGACCTTTTGTGCCACAAAACAGCCAGAAAGCTACCTTAACTGGTCCCGCTCAATATAGGAGAATCCTCAGCTCCTATGCCATCCTGTCCTATACTCCAGCACACCGGTGCATTGCTAGGATGACAAGAGCAAGTGTGAAAAATCAGGATGGGGTCGGGGGTAATAAGCATCTATAAAAGCCAAAGCCCCAAATATCGGGACTGTCCCCATAAAATCAGGACATCTGGTCACCCTATGCATAGCTGCAGAAAAGAGAATCAGCGCTAAGAGCCACTAGGTGTGGTTGATTCCTGGCCGATATAAAGGACTTCAAGTTGCACATCATCTGATTCCCAGATGTTGCAATGGACCTAAATGCACATTGGGACTGGACAAGCTCCCAGTGGCCCCAGGATGGGTAGACGGGCATAAAGGTGTCTTAAAAGTAACTTCATGTCCACCCGTCCCCTGAGCTGTGCTAGATGGGGGACAGCAAGTTCTGATTCAGTCATTTCATCACTGCATTATATGGTTTGCTTTGCTGATTTTCTAGGTTTAAAATTTAGACGTACAATAAAAACACATTAATTTGCAATATAGTGAATGTTGCAAAATAGTTTTCTTTTTGGTCTCTGTCCAAACTTGATTTTTTTTTTTTACAAAGATAAAGTTCACAATCCTATTTATTGAGGGTCATTATAAAGGTAACATTTATACTCTGATATTCTGTGTGTCCAGCCATCTTTAAGCTAAGGAAAAGAAAAAGGAGCTTATTTCATTACGGGAGAGAAAAAAACTGTACATAGACACAGTATCAGTTAATTATCCTGGTCTATTTTTACATACTTGTCCTACTAATGTAACTTGAAACAGCTGTGGGTTTTAATGGCAAAACAACTCAGTCCAGGCCCATTTATTTACCAACTATAACTGAAGGATCACTCACATGGGTTCTCAGAATGAATTCTATTCTGTTACTAGCCTACCAAAAGAACCACCTGTCTCCTGCTGCTCAATTTGATTTAACTACATTTATTCAACAGCTTCTTCTGCGTGCTAAATTAAATCCCAGTGATTGCATAGCCTGCTTTGTTCTCTGCTGATCATGACGCCGTGTGTTTCAAGTTATTATGTGGTGAATTACCCTTTCTTTTTGGCCTAGTGCCGCCTTGTCTAGGATTGCTTTGCAACACAAAGTACAAATCAGCTAAAACTCACAGTTGACCATTTTCCTGGTCATGGCCACCTTGACACTGTCTATTGCATGCTCCAAAGCTACCTTCAGTAAAGCTATCTTGCACTGTAATTAGGGCTGATCAGTGGCTAGGCTCCCACTCAAGACCTTGTGATGTTAAGCCAAGTTTGCTTCAGAGGGGATTTGTTGGTAACTTAGCTCATTACTGGAAGGCCTTTCTCCCTATGAAATATAAAGCTTACTTTATGATGAGACCGTTCTCAAATTTTGCCCCAACTCTCATCACAAGTACTTTGCACTTTTATATATGCACAGTGATATTCGTGATCATATTCTCTTTTTCGTCTTTATTTTGTGATTTGAGAACACTTAAATAGCATATTATAGGTAAACAACAAAGCCAGCCTATAAGCTGTATCCCAAGAGCACTTTTCCAGAATTAATTTCAATACTGGGTAATGAAAAAGGTTTAAACTTATCAGTGGCATCTATACTGGGCATTATTATCTGTAAGGTAACTAAGCCTTTAAAGGATATTTCTGATGAATAGCTATTAATGCCTTATCAAGCTAAATAAATTTTCACAAAAGAAGACTGTATACAATGTAGACATTTTACAATGATTTTTTTAAAGTATTTTAGTTGTACCTGACTGTGTTTCAGAATCTATATTTAGTGAATGGGGCTAGTGACCCAGCACATAGTTCCCAGAAAGAACCCCATGCCCGGAATAGGTCACAATGAATAAAAATGCAACTCCTATTTGAAAGTAATGGACATTTCACAGTTGATGTAAAACTAAAGTACAAATAAAACTGTAAAATAATTTTAGTATTATCTTTGAAAAGTCATGGAAGATGGGTGAGATTCCAGAGGACTGGAAAAGGGCAAATACAGTGCCAATCAATAAAAAGGGGAATAAGGACAACCTGGAGAAGACAGACCAGTCAGCTTAACTTCTGTACCAAGAAAGATAATGGAGTAAATAATCAAGCAATTAACTGGCAAACACCTAGGAGATAATAAGGTGATAAGTAACAGTCAGCATGGATTTGTCAAGAACAAATCATGTCAAACCAACCTAATAGCTTTCCTTGACAGGGTAAACAAGCTTTGTGGGTAGGGGAAGAAGGTATATCTTGACTTTAGTAAGGCTTTTGATACTGTCTCGCATGACCTTCTCATAAGCAAACTAGTGAAATACAACCTAGATGGAGCTTATATCAGGTGGGTGCATAACTGGTTGGAAAACCATTCCAGAGAGTAGTTATCAGTGGTTCACAGTCAAGCTGTAAGTGCGGTCCCACAGGGATCAGTTTTGTGTTGGATTCTGTTCAATATTTTCATCAATGATTTAGATAATGACATAGAGAGAACACTTATAAAGTTTGAGGATGATACCAAGCTGGGAGGAGTTGCAAATGCTTTGCGGGATAGGATTAAAATTCAAAATGATCTGGACAAACTGAAGAAATGGTCTGAAGTAAACAGGATGAAATTCAATAAGGATAAATGCAAAGTACTCCACTTGTGTGCAACTGATTGTTCCTTCCTAAGCTAAATACGAGTCAACAGTCTAACACTTTTACCAAAAAAAAAGACAAACATCATTCTGGGATGTATTAGCAGGAGTATAGTAAGCAAGACACAAGAAGTAATTCTTCCACTCTACTCCATACTGATTGGGCCTCACCTGGAGTATTGTGTCCAGTTCTGGGTGCCACATTTCAGGAAAGATATGGACAAATTGGAGAAAGTCCAGAGAAGAGCAACAAAAAGTATTAAATGTCTAGAAAACATTACCAGTTTGTAATGTTTAGGCTGGAGAAGAGAAGACTGAGAGGGGAACATAACAGTTTTCAAGTACATAAAAAATTGTCACAAGGAGGACAGAGAAAATTGTTCTCGTTAACCTCTGAGGATTGGATAAGAAACAATGGACTTAAATTGCAGCAAGGACAGTTTAGGTTGGACATCAGGAAAAACTTCCTAACTGTCAGATTGGTTAAGCACTGGAATAAATTGCCTAGGGAAGTTGTGGAGTCTCCATCATGGGAGATTGTTAAGAGCAGGTTAGACAAACACCTGTCAGGGATGGTCTAAATAATACTCAGTCCTGCCTTGATTGTGGGGTGACCAGGTGTCCAGTTTTTGACCGGAACTCCCAATCGAAAAGGGATCCTGGCGGTTCTAGTCAGCACCACTGACTGGGCCGTTGACTGTCCGGTTGGCGGCGCTGCGCAGTGGGGCTGGCAGGCTCCCTGCTAGCCTCCATACATGCTGGCTTCCGGGAAGCAGCTGGCATGTCCTGCCTCCGGCTCCTACATGTACTGGCAGCCAGGGGGCTCCACATGCTGCCCCCACCCCAAGCACCACCCCCGCAGCTCCCATTAGCCAGGAAGCACAGCCAATGAGAGCTGCGGGGGTGGCACCTGTGGATGGGGCATTGCGCAGAGTGTGCAGAGCAGCCTGGCTGCGCCTCCATGAAGGAGCAGGAGGGGGGACATGCCACTGCTTCCAGGAGCTGCTTCATGTAAGCGCCGCCCAGAGCCTGCACCCCTGACCCCCTCCTAGGCCCCAACCCCCTGCCCCTGCCCTGATCCCCCCCCGCCACCCTCCAAACCCCTCATCCCCAGCCCCACCCCAGAGTCTGCACACTCAGCCAGAGCCCTTACACACACACCCCGCACCCCAACCCTCTGCCCCATCCCAGATCCCTCCCACACTCCAAACCCCTCAGCCCCAGCCCAGAGCCCTCTCCCATACCCTGAACTCCTCATTTCTGGCCCCATCCCAGAACCTGCACCCCAGAGCCCGTACCTCCTCTCACACCCAATCCCCTGCCTCAGCCAGGAGCCCCCTCCCATATTCTGAACCCCTCAGCTCCATCCCCCAGCCCGGAGCCCCCTCCTGAACCCCAAACCCCTCATCCCTGGCCCCACCCCAGAGCCCGCACCTCCAGCCGGAGCCCTCACCTCCTCCCACATCCCAACCCACTGCCTCAGCCTGCAGCCCCCTCCTGCACTCTTAACTTCTCATTTCTGGCCCCACCCCGGAGCCCGCACCCCCAGCCAGTGTCCTCACCCCCTCCTGTACCCCAGCCCTCTGAGCCAGCCCGGTCAAAATAAGTGAGTGAATGAGGGTGGGGAGAGAGAGCGACAGAGGGGAGGGGGAGATGGAGTGAGTGGGGGCAGGGCCTCAGAGAAGGGGCAGGGGGTGGGACAAGAGTGTTTGGTTTTGTGTGAGTAGAAAGTTGTCAACCTTACTTGAGTGCAGGGGACTAGACTAGAAGGTCCTTCCAGGCCTATAATTCTATGATTCTCTTGGTTAGATAAGCAGCTCTTTCTCTTACTATATTGAAAGAACTTCTCAACAAATTTGAAACCTTCTATTTTCCAGTTCTTTCAAGTGGGATTTGAATTCTCTATCTGATTCTGCACTACCAAATCATCAACGTGACAATTTTATGTATGATCTCTGCAATTAGATGTAGTGGTGATAATACTGTTTATGGTACCCTGGAGTTGTCCTTGAAAATAAAGGAAGTGCTATGCAGTCAAAATGATGGAAGTCATAGTTTGGGTATAGGCTATCTGAAAAATAACCTGTTTCCATATACATCAGCACAGCAGTTTAGATCAATTGATGTTCTTGAGGGAACAAGTTGTGTTAATTTAGTGATACTAAAAAATGCCAGATTGAGAGCCATAAACACAGAAGTCTAATTTTTTTCCCCACACAACAGGTGGAACAAACATACCAAAGGGCCTTACCCCTGATTGCAGAGACCTTTTTTAAGGGTCAGAGGAGTGTTTAGTCTTCAGGCCCAATCAATACATTGCCTTTTGGCTTGCTCGGTGTGCTTCTTTGTCCCATTTCAAAGAGGACGAGATCAAAGCATGTTAACAAACTGTTAATACACATCAGCAGGGTCCATGTGGATGTTAGTCTGGGGCAGGCTAGTGCGAGATAGATTCACGCTCCAGCTTGCTGCAAGCTACATGTTTGTGTAGACAAGCTTTGACTGTGAATATTGTTTCATGAAACATAATCTCTTGTTCAGAATGTGGCTGTGTCCTCTGCCGTGACAGCTAGGAGGGGTGCCAGTGCTCTAGAATAATGATGAAGAGATCATTTTGGGTTCACTGATAATTAAGAAGGCGGGTCCATCTTCTCTTTTGAGGAATAAAACATCTGGAAAGCTATTTTTAAAAGCAGTAAGAATATTCTTGGAATCAGGGGGGCCTCTGGGAGTACACCTGCTGCTAAGTGCTAATTTGATTGTTTTCCACAACTACTTACTTTCAATCTCTTTGATTTTCATTTCCCATGGTATGCAGGCTGTTTTAAAATTCTCAAAATCTCGTTGAAATTTCATCCATTTCTGTAAAGGATCACAAAGAAAAAGAGGCCGCATTCTCAGTGTTCTCATATACATTCTCACTCATGACTCTGAGATCCAGCATAGAACTGAGTGAATTTGTATCAAATACTTAATTTGCTGTATTTTGCCTTTTTTTTTTCTGTTTGTGGAATGTCTGAACAGATCGTGATTTTTTTTCTTGAGTATTATTTGACTTGAGAACTGTTTCTGATCATTTAACGTATTTTATTCCAAATCTGAAATTCGAACTATATTGCTTAGTTGTGGTTAGTCTAAATGGTGGTGGTGTCTCTGTCCCTCAATTGGATAAGAGCAACTATTATAATCAGCAAAAACAACGAGGAGTCCTTGTGGCACCTTAGAGACTAACAAATTTATTTGGGCATAAGCTTTCATGGGCTAGACCCCCCTTCATCAGATGCATGGAGTGAAAAATACAGGAGCAGGTATAAATACATGAAAGGATGGGGGTGCTTTAACAAGTGTGAGGTCAGTCTAATGAGATAAATCAATTTATCTCATTAGCAGGATACCAAGGGAGGAAAAATATAATCAGGCTTTCCAGGCATATTTCAGAATGTGAAAGTTGAAAATTTGTTGAACATTAATGCTAGTAAAATGTGATTCCACAAATGTCTATAAAAAATGAAGCCAAATTAGTACTGAACATGATTGAAGCAAAACTTGTTTTAAAATTTGAATAAATATTTGCAGAGATTTTTTGCAGTATTCTCTCAGCTCTGAGGCAAAGGGACAATCTGTCCAAGCACTATATAAGGGAGAAAGGAACCATTCCAATCTAATATGTAAAGTGCATGTTTGCCATATGCCATGAGTTATTCTGCTACAATGAGGAGACTGAAACATTCTGAATCTTCTCAAGGAGCATGATCTTCATTGGCTTTCTTTATTCTGGGCCTAACCCCAAACCCAATTTTAATCCCCAGAGGATGGAACTCTTGGTGGAACAGATTGGAAGGCTCTTGAAGATAGAGCCCAATCAGTAGGTATGGGTTTGGTTAATGACCTCTGCTTTGGGATAATTTGGGGCAAAGAGGGTTAAAAATGCACGTGAAGAATGGGATGGTATTTATGAGGATGTGGTGAATGATAATCTACAACACTGTATTGCTTTGCATTGTATGAAATTGATTAAATAAAATCCTTACCTTTGTCATCATCACTTTGTATGCATAAAACTTTTTCCCTTTTCCTTTTCCAAGTGCACCTTCAAATTTTTCTACAAAAAGCTGGGCTTCCCTGAGAAATAAGAACAAAAAGACATGCATGTGATGATATGGTAAAACTGGAATTCCTGCCACTTCAGGCTTGAAAAACATGTCCGATTACTCCACGTTGGATGTTCATATATCCCTGTTCTCTTAGTGACCTCTTATAGTTTATATTTCCCAGAAATTTTATCATAGTTAGTGCAACCAGAAGAAAACAACTTGTCATTTTGTCTGAGCCATCTGCATTTTCCAGAAGTGATCTCTACTTAATTCCTGCTAATGTTATCTAGCCTGTTCTGTGAATACCTGAAGTCATGATGTCTTGTTTTGTAATCTAGCCTATTCCCCAGTAGTACTTCCTCTTAAGAATTATTTCCTTTTGTTCAAGCCATTGGTCCTAATCCATTCATCCACTGGAACTATATGAATTATTCTTCTTCATTTTAATTGTTACTTTGAAGATATTTATAGACTGTAATCATGGTTCCCTTGTGTCTGCTCTCTTCTAGGCTACATATATTTTCCCTCCTCTCAGTGCCTCCACATATGTCTTGTCCATTGTACAATCTATGAATCATTTTCTCATAACTGTGGCTTCAATTGGCTCCAAAAGATTAGAGTTTTGATTGACAACATTATTAAAGTATTCCCTAGTGAGACACATAGGACATAAGGGTGAAAGGGAAAAAAAGAGTGAAAGTTCCTTTAAAATGTTTTTAAGATTTTGTGTAACATCAGCACTTTTAAATGATGATCAGATGTGACCAGGCACTTACTAGAGTCTTCTCCACCCCCTTTTTATTCTCCTTTGTGAGCACAAACTTTAAGACACCAGTGAATGTACTTTTATTGTGGAGAGGTGGCTACTTTAACTGCTGAATGACTATATCTAAAATACTATATAAAAGAAACAAGACTTCTTGAAATCCAATGTTTGCACAGTGGTATCAAAACCATTATATTGGTGGTAGTCACCAGATGGCACTAATACAGAGCACCTTACACATTTTGATTAATTGCCTGTATAGGCATTCGGAGACTGGTGGGTAGTTGGAGAAATGCTAGCTATTAGTTGTGGTGAAGTTCTTTTCTGGAAGCTGTGCAAACAGATTAATTGCCTGAGTCCCTCTCACTGGAATTATTTCTTATGCATAGATCTGTTGCCCACAGCTTATATCCACACAAGCAAACAAAAACATTGCAACATGCCAAAACATGACAAAAACTGCAGGTGATGCTTATGTAAGAAGAATACTAATAACCAGCTCCGAATTTCCATGTGAATCAAAGCTAATCTCTCTTATTCTTATGAAAAACATTGTGGGAATTTAATGACTGCAGTTTCAGAAGTAGCTCTGATCCTTCTAATACCATTTGTTCAAATCAGAAGGAAGAGTGTCACCTAGTTAATCAACACCATTTACTGTGGCACTAGTTGATTTGTGGAGACTTTACGTCCAAGTACAGGGCCTAGATTGTGAAAGGGCTGAAGAAATCACAACATGCAGTGGCATGGCTAAAATCTATGCTTTCAGCTGTTCATCCACTTTATTTTACTGTTCCAGTCTTCAAAATTAAAAAATACACTTCTCAAAGTGAAATGAGGAGATTAGAAAGTCAGAAGGATAATATTCAAACAAAAGCCTGACACAACGTCACTAACGTGAAAAAATTTCCTCCCTAGTATACACATCATACATCCATAGCTGGGCACACAAATTCTCCAGAAACTTCTCTTTTCTGTTTATAAAATGATCATGAGTTTGGCTAAGCCAAAACAAAGAAATTATTTTCCACAGGCAAAGTTTATAAAAAACATGTCTTTTAGATCATGAATTCAACCCCTCAATTAAAGCCAAGGATTCAAACTAGGCATGATTGTTTGCAATGCAATGAATGTCACATCAAATGCCTTTTAGGTGTTTTCCTCTGCATTAGAATATAGTTTTTTATTCCTCTCTGGGTTCTGAATTCTCTGGCAAGGATGGGTTTTCTGTTTCTATCTGCAAGCTGGTTGCAGATTTCTAGTGCAAACTGAATTCTTGCCCTTTGGATGTAGTGATCCAGGTTTCCTGGACTACTGCTGTATTTTCCCATGACTTCCCTCAGTGAAGTTCCCCTTCCCCTCCCTCTTTCATTTGTTCCCCTCCCCCCATTCTTATTGACTGTTAGGCTTTTCTTCCTCTCCATATCTTTGCAGGTGTTTGGCTAGGTCCCTGGTGGTTCTTCGTGTATGTTACAAAAATCCCTTATCTGCATGACAGTATTTAATCTGTCTATATTTTTTAAGAGCTTTAACTTTACTAATCACATTGGGCCAAATTAATCATCTAGTCTAGTTACTATCCACTTATGCAGATGTTATGTTTTAAATAGAAAGGGACCCTTCACTTTAACAGGGCTCAACTGTATATTTAATACTGAACTATCTGCCTATCATAATTTAAGTACCTTTGCACAGTATGAGGCACTTGAATACAGTACTGATAGCACTCACCATTCCTGTTAAAGAACCACTCAAAAGCCTCTCACACATTCCACAGCAAATGAAAGGAAATACTACCCCATGGTATTATTGGGTAGATGGAAGAAGCTTGCCACTATTCGGCATCTTTTGTCAGAATGAAAGCACTTTATGTGTCAAAGTTACACTTGATGTTCTACATATGTGCTTTCTCCTTGAGTGGGCAGTACAGGTTTGGTTGTAGCTGACTTTTAACAAGCTTTTTTGTACACTCATTACAGCTTTAGGGAGACCCAGTGAATAACGTGCTCATGGGGGGGGCCCTGCCACATGAAAACCTATAGTCAAGCCATTTTGTGCTCTGCAGCAGCCCAGCTGCATCCAGGAATAGGAATACTTGCATGACTAATTTCAAGTCCCTATTTAATTGGTAGTTGAGTGCAAGTCTCAATAACAATTTAATTCCATGAAAAATTCCCACTGCAGTATTTAACAAAAGATATGACAAGCACATCTAGTGGTAGAGCAGAGCTTGAAAGAGGGCCTGTGGGTGATGAGGCAGAGAATATGTGTGCAGTTGCATTCAAGGAAACTAATAAGGAAAGCATAAGCCCCATGTGATGCTGAAGCTATCAAACAGCTACTGCAAAGTGCTTTTTTCCTTGCTCCTGCTCATCCCTCCTCCAGCAGAGACTCTCAATGGATTTTTACTGGGATACACCCTTGAATTAAAATGAGTTACTTCTTATTTACTTGCTGTGAGATCAAAGTCAGGCCCTCGGTGATTTGTAGGTCAGAAACTAAGGAAATTTCCCCACTCCCTCCTAAACTTCCTGTGTCCTGGCTGGCTCTAAATATAGAATCATAGGACTGGAAGGGACTTCGAGAGGTCATCTAGTCCATTCTCCTGCACTCATGGCCAGACTAAGTATTATCTAGACCATTCCTGACAGGTGTTTGTCTAACCCAGTGCTTCTCAAAGTCGGGCCGCCGTTTGTTCAGGGAAAGCTCCCAGCAGTCCAGGCTGGTTTGTTTACCTGCTGCGTCTGCAAGTTCAGCCAATCGCGGCTCCCATTGGCCTGGAGCAGCGAACCACAGCCAGTGGGAGCCGCGATCAGCCGAACCTGCGGACGCGGCAGGTAAACAAACCGGCCTGGACCACCAGGGGCTTTCCCTGAACAAGCAGCGGACCGGCTTTGAGAAGCACTGGTCTAACCTGCTCTTAAAAATCTCCAATGATGGAGATTCCACAACCTCCATAGGCAATTTATTCCAGTGATTAACTACCTTGACAGTTAGGAAGTTTTGCCTGATGTCCAACCTAAACCTCCCTTGCTGCAGTTTAAGCCCATTGCTTATTGACCTATTCTCAGAGGTTAAGAAGAACAATTCTTCTCCCTCCTCCTTATGACAACCTTTTATGTACTTTGAGAGGGGACATGATAACAATTTTTGTCTTCTCTTTTCCAGACTAAACAAACCCAATTTTTTCAATCTTCCCTCATAGGTCATGTTGTCTACACCTTTAATCATTTTTGTTGCTCTTCTCGGGACTTTCTCCAATTTGTCCACATCTTTCCTGAAATGTGGCGCCCAGAACTGGACATAATACTCCAGTTGAGGCCTAATAAGTGTGGAGTAGAAAGCAAAAAATTACTTCTTGTGTCTTCTTACAACACTCCTGCTAATACATCCCAGAATGATGTTAGCTCTGTGTGTGTGTGTGTGTGTGTGTGTGT